GATTGTCTTCTGGACAACTGTCAGATCAGCAGTCTTCCCCATGATTGTGTAGCCTAGTGAACCAAACTGAGAGACCATTTTGAAGGCTCAGGAAACCTTTGCAGGTGTTTTGAGTTGATTAGCTGATTGGTATGTCACCATATTCTTACATACTTTAATTGCAAGAATAAAATCATAAATTCACTATATACAGTACATCCATTTTTAGTCATTCAGGTTTTTTTATTTTATTTTGTTTTATTATTATCATCACATATGGGCTGCTAAATTGTATGCACAGTTTTCAGTGATGGCAGTATTTGCATGACAAACTGTTAAGTATTATTTATTGTAGAATTTAGTCATACTTATTAACTTTTCAGTAATTTTACATGCTTTTGTCATTTCTGTTTTCCCTTATTTTACTTTAGTACAAAAAAGTAGGGGTACAATTTTGAGAAAAATATCTACAATATCCACCCCTAACACTCAGTGACACACAAGCAGATTGTTCAAAAAACGTACAATTCGCCATGAGAGACCATATTTATTTATTTTTTACGAATAAAATCATGGCTATGAGGAAAAGTTTGTTCAACAGGCTGTTCTGACTTAAGGTCCTACATCATGTTTTCTTTTATTATTACAGGAACTAACGAACCTAATGTTTCCATATAGCTACCTCAGACAGCTGAAGACCACATGGTCGGCCATTTAACATCTTTTCAGGTTTGTTTTGTAACACAAGAATGAGAAAACAGGGGTCAGTCACTCTTTGAGAGAAGTGAAAACGAGACTGGTTTAACCTCTCCGTGCAGAGGACATCGTAAATAAACCACTGACACAAAGTCCTCTTGATCGTGAAGAACTCAACACTTAGTCCCGTACTCTAGAGTCCCTCTTTTAATAAAATCAATGGGTTTTTCACTTTAGCGAGCACCATTCGGAGGAAAAAAACACCAAACGCCATTTAATTCTTAATTTCTCTTTATCTTCGACAACAGCAATATTGAAGGAACTGATGTTTTGCGTGCAAACTTGTTTGTGTGAATATGGTACCTGTGCTTGACAAACACCAGCATTATACAGCAGTGAATGCCTCTCCAAAGAGAGACGTGAACAACAACCCCACATCAGAGGGTTTCTTAAAAAAAAACAGTCATTGAGAATTTGGACTGAAATACATGGACCTACACATTCAATCAGGGCAGTGTACACCGCTTCAATCCCAAATGGCTTTTAGATGCAAGATTTGTCATTTGTCAATGTCATCCTGTCATAATACATCCTAATTAAGCCCCAAAACATTTTAATGTACAGTAATGGTACAATGAAAAAAAATAATTTACTCACCCTCAAATTTTTGGTCCCCATTCACATCCACAGAAAAAAAAACTATTATAGAAGTCAATGGGCACCAGCAACTGTTTGGTTACAGACATTTATCAAAATATTTTTTTATTTTGTGTTCATCAGGAGAAAGAAACTCTGAGACAACTGAGGGGGAGAAAATGATGACCGAATTTTGGTCTTGGTTTCATTTTTATGTGAACCGTTCCTTTAAGTGATAGTTCTCATCATTATGTTGTTCCAAACCCATCAGATTTTCTTTCTATGGAACGCAAAAGGTGAATTTTGGAAATATATACTAGTTATTTTCAATATAGTGAAAGTGAATGAGAACTGTGACTGTCAAATGACAAAAAAATAAATAAAATCCTACAGAAGTGTCATTAAAGGGTTAGTTCACCCAAAAATGAACATTCTGTCATTAATTACTCACCCTCATGACGTTCCAAACCCGTAAGACCTTCGTTCATCTTCGGAACACAAATTAAGATATTTTTGATGGAATCTGAGAGCTGTCTGACCCTGCATAGACAGCAACGCAACTAAAATGTTCCCAAGTCCAGAAACGTAGCAAGGAGATCGGTAAAATAATCCATTTGACATAAGTGGTTCAACCGTAATTTTACGAAGCAAAGAGAATACTTTTTGTGCGCAAAAGAAAAAGAAAAAAAAAAAAAAAAAAAAAAAATTTTTTGGCAATTTTATTTCTTTCCCCAGCACCATTTTGGAGAATATCAGCTGGACGTAAACAGCATATGCTGTTCTGTGTCAGCTGCGTCACGCGGATACACCGTTTTCGTTGTTGTGATTTGATCTGAACGCGGATGAGATGAATTGTTGAATAAAGTCGTTATTATTTTTCTTTTGCGCACAAAAAGTATTCTCGTTGGTTCGTATAATTGCGGATGAACCCCTGATGTCACATGGATTATTTTACAGATGTCCTTGCTACGTCTCTGGACTTGGGAATATTTCAGTTGCGTTGCCGTCTATGCAGGGTCAGACAGCTCTCAGATTCCATCAAAAATATCTTCATTTGTGTTCTGAAGATGAACGAAGGACTTACGGGTTTGAAACGACATGAGGGTGAGTAATTAACGACAGAACTTTCATTTTGGGGTGAACTAACCCTTTAAACTGCCCATTCAACTTGTGGACTATATTCTTAAAGTCATATTATTGTTACTCACACAAAGCTATTGTTTGGCTTCAGAATATTTAATACTTTGAATATAGTACACAAATCATATGTGCAAGGATATCGTTTTTTAATGGTGCTTTTTACATCTCGATCCTAATTCAGTGTAACTGCATGCAAACGAGTGACTAATACATTCATCAGAATTTATTAGTCAAACAGACGTGGCCATATGGGTTTGGAAGAACATGACAATTTATTTTTGGGTGAACTTGTACATTGCAAGCTGGAATTCTGACACGCAAAGATGTGATTTTAACCCCCAAATATATTGCACTGATTCTCATCACAGAGCTCTACAAGTTTAAATAACAACATTTACAGCTCCACCCCAGTGTGAAGTCATAGAAATGATAGGTGATGACATTAAAAAATAAAATAATAAAATAAAATGAATGCTCACAATCCCACATACACTCACTGACAAGCAATAAGCAGTACCAATGATAAAGGAGTAATTCTGACACTCTAACACTGTAATATTCACTATCGAAACCATCTACCTTTAACAAGAAAAAATAAAAATAAGAGACATTTTCTCTTTCGCTCTCAACATTCCTCCACGGAGTGCTGTTCATGGAAATATAATTCATGGAAAGGTATTTTAGGTAGAAAAAAAGTGACCTTGAATCATTTTAGAAATCTGCCACATCTTTTTAATTGTGGCTAGTGTTTTTACATTTTAAAGGGATTTCGCTTTCTACCACGATATCAGCGCAGTCCAACTTCCGTGTCCAAAAAATCCCAAGAAAAAAGTTCCAAGACACGAGTTTCTATTGTATTGAACAGAGAGAGAGAGAGAAAGAGAGAGAGAGAGAGAAAAGGTTTTGGTGGTAAAAACATTTAAAATTCATCTTTTAAAATGAATCTCACTCTGTTTTTCTTTGGCACAATCAAAACATTTAATAAATGTTAAATTATGCGTACAGTCTTGAGTCGAGGCAACAGCCGGCAGAACCTTGTCTAGACTACGGACACATACATAAACCATACTCAAGTCACATGTCCTCTTTCACACTGAAAATCAAAAGGCAGCCTCAGCGTCCCTCAGACAATTAATAAATAGACAACCAAACATCACAGCTGATCAGAGGCAGCCATACAATCCTTTCCGAAGCTGCAGTCTTCACCGTCTTCACATTACACCAAAGCTTGACTGGCCTTGGCTGTACATGTCATGTAGAATCCCTTGCAAATTATTCTGTGAAAACGCAAAACTGGCCAATGACTGTAGGAGAAAGACTTGATAGGAGGCAAAACCATGACAAAGTGTTTTAAAACCAAATCATTGGAGAGGTGATTGGCCAGTTGTTTGATTGACAGGGTCCAGGTCCTATAGGGTAACAGGGAGGTCTGGTGAAGCCAGGCCCTCCTCCAGCCACTGGACGGAAGCAGAGGCACCGCGCAGGAGTGTGGAGCGGTTGTGTATGCGTCTCAGCCGGAGCAGGTAGAGGAGGATGGACAAAACCACCACCAGAAAACAGGCCAGGAACAGATAGTGGTTGTTCATGAAGGAGAAGCTGTGGTGCCAGTGAGAGTGAGAGCTCTTCAGACTCTCCTGCTGGATGTCCCTGACAAACCAAAACACGCCAGAAATGGACACAAATATATATATTTTTTTCAAATTAAAATTAAATATATACAAAATTAAAAAAAAAGTTAACATTTCGTTTTAATGTGATTTTTTTGTGTTAATATGGTTAGTAATATGACGTCTGTTAGGCTGTTACTGTAACTTCAAATAATTTGTATGGCTTTATAAAACAAGAGCCATTTTATCAAATTAAATGTGCTATAAAATCTAACTAAAACAACTGTGTGCAATATTATTAAGCAGCAAAACCCCAAAATTACATGTCTGTGCGAGACCCTGAGCTTGTATCAGCAAAATGCCACTTCTGGAGAATGACAGCTGGAAGATGATAATTTACAGGGTAAAGGTGTTAGAAATTATAAAACTTAAATGTTTAGAAAATTGATTGGCTATTATTTAAAAAAAATTGTTCTTAAACTTATTAATTGTTCTGCAAAAAATAATGGAAAGTAAAAAAAAATAATAATAATGACTATTTTTGGACTTTTGAATAAGACTTGTCAAGTTCGTTTTTCATTACAGTTCAAGAAGGCAGCATTTATTTAATAAAAAAATAGTGAATTATTGCACTTTGAAATAGCCGTATTCTATGTCAATATATATTTAAATGTAATTTATTTCTGTGATGAAATGCTGATTTTTCAGCATCATTACTTCAGTCTTCAGTGTCATATGATCCTTCAGAAATGTGTGTATTTTTTATTTTTTTTTAAAGACCCTTTAAAAAGTTTGACCCCAAGTTTAGGAGTTAAAGTATTGGAAAAATATCGGGGGGGAAATATTGATAATAAAAAAATATTTTTTTACAAAGAAAAGAAGACTCAAAACTATTTAAAAGAAAAGAAGGCTCAAAAACCAAGTTGGTATGTACGTATATGTATGTACCTTAGAGGTAGAAAACGTGTGCGGTACAAAATGGCTCCTAGTGTCCACTGCACTTCTTTGTCATACACCAGCAGGGCCGTTCTGAGATTCTCATACACCGCTGGAAACGCAAAACCTGAGTGGAGCACCTCATACATCCACGCAGACTTAAAGCACTGATACCTGCAGGAGGAGAGGAGCAGCCCGTTTATTCATTTCTCCAAACTGATCACAAACGGTTGATGTATTATTTTCTACCATACACTTTTGTACTGACGAGAAAATGAGTCAATGCTGCCTTAATAGAGGTTTTTGCATTTTAAACTTACTTCAGTCTATGTTGATCAGCATGCGAGGCGTAAAGTCCTCGATCAAACCGTTCTTTCAAAGTCTTCCACTGGGTGGCACAGTAACTCTGAAATTAAAAGGATAAGGTAAAAACAAATGTGATAATGAGCAATTTATAAGCAATTTTTGTAGGCTGGTCATTTCTGACTGGGAACACCACCTGTTGGGACAAAAATCCCCCCAAAAAGTTGTTATATCCTGTGTCAATTACTGGAACAAAACTTAAAGGTTGAAAAAAAAATCAATGAAACACTTGCTGTAACAAAAATCTTGTTTCTTTCTTCTAATTTTCTTTTATGCATCACAAAAAGAGAAATTCTGAAGAATGTTCACGCTGCTCTGTTCCATACGACAGAAGTGACCTCTCTTTTTGGAGCTTGACTGCCGCAGTGAGTTTTGATCTATTAAAAAAGAGCAGCATGAACATATCGTAAAATATCAGTGTACCTTAGCAGCGTTGGAATATTTGGTGGAGTTGTAGTCTCCTCCCATGCGCAGCACATCTTCAGTACAGTAGTAGAACTCAGAGAAGCCGTAGAACTGGCTGTTGGTGAAGTCGATGGGCGGCTGGTAGACACCGTTCAGCGATGTGTTGGTGTCGTTGGTGCGGTTGAGGAACGGCTGGAGCAGCAGACGGCAGCGGTCGAAGTCTCCAATGCCTCTCAGGTGAACTCTCTGGTCCTGAGGACCCACCTCATCCTGGAGGTCAGCTGGCAGACAGGGGTCAAGGATGGGCGAGTCTGCACTCTCTCCTTGATGCTGACCCAGCAGCCTAGAGACAGTAGTTATCGATGAGAACTTCCCAAGGAATGTTGGTTGACATCAAATATTCACAATAAAAAAAAAAAAGTGTTAAAGGCACAATATGAAATTTTCACCGCTAGAGGGCGCATATTTAAAATAAACAAAGAGGCTCTCTCCTTGATGCTGACCCAGCAGCCTGGAGACAGTAGTTATCGATGAGAACTTCCCAAAGAATGTTGGTTGACATCAAATATTCACAATAAAAAAAAAAAAAGTGTTAAAGGCACAATATGAAATTTTCACCGCTAGAGGGCGCATATTTAAAATAAACAAAGAGACATAGGCTTAGTTTGATGAGGCAGTGACTGAGTGTAGAATCATGGGAGTTGTGGTCTTCATCCCCACAGCCGATGCAATCCGACGAGACTCGGGCAGAAATCATGTTCATGGATGAGCTAATGATTTATTAACGTAGTAGAATGAAGCAGGGTGAGGCTGAAAGCCGTCGAAGCGAAACGAGGCGCTGAACGAGCGCGACACACGGCTCGAAAGCAGCGGAGCTTTTATTATGCCACAGTCGAGCGCTTCCGCTCCTTCAGGTCGTGCGTATGTAGGGGAATAAAAGCAGCGCTGTTTTATCATACTAGATACATTTGAAAGTTCTGTTATAATGCTACTCTGTGCAGTCGTCACCAATCTATTAAAACGCACAACATATTAAAGCATCTTTAGTGTTTCCATGTTTTCTACAAAACAAAACCCCCGGAAATCGAGGGGTTATGATGTCATTGGCAGAATATATTTATAGAAATATGGCATTATAGAAAATTGTTTATAGTTTGTTATAGAAAAACAATTTATGCTCAGAGTCCAGAGTTAGCAGTTGGTAAATGTTTTCAATGTTTAATTTTTTTTAATTAATCAAGGCTGGATTTATTTGATCCAAAATACAGTAAATGCAGTAGTATTTTGGAATATTTTATAATAAGAATATAAAAACTTATAAGAACATAAAACATTTTATAATTTATATAAAATCATTCATACGAATACATATACACAATCACAACAAATATTTGTAAGTTATATATTTTATTTTATTCATGTGATGTAAAGCTGAATTTTCAGTGTCACATGATCCTACAGAAATCATTCTAATATGCTGATTTGCTGCTCAAGAAACATTTATCATCATTATTATGAATGCTGAAAACTATTTTGCCGCTTCATATTTTTGTGGAAACTATGATGCATTTTATTCTTTGATTAAGAGAACAGCAGTTATGTGAAACAGAATTTTTTTTTGTAACATTATACATGTTTACTCAAACTTTTGATCAACTTAATGCGTCTTCGATTAATGAAAATGCACATTTATGTTTAAAACGAAATCGTAAAACTCCAAACTTTTGAACAGTAGTGTACATTGTCTAGCTCATGTTCAACAATATTTAAAAAAAATATTTGATCTTACTTGTTTTGGATTTGTGTGGTGCTGATGAAGTTTTCCTCATATCTCTGGCGGGCTGCATTTCCACCAAAACCCAAAAATGTTGAGACATAAACACGGTACACGTGTTCTGTTCTGTGAGCGTCACAGCCCAGGTTAAACTCCGCCAGCAAATTCTTGGCTATCTCTTCCTGGTAGCACACAGCAAAACACAGACAGAAATATAAGACTGCTGTGGAGAACAGATGTTAACTGAGGTTCAACATTTGGAGCATCTTCTAAAAATGCAGATCAACAGATCTACTCTGAAGAGTGCTTGAATTGTATGTTTCTTTAAACACAGAGGCAGCAAAGCAAGTGAAGTGAGAAGCAGCATCATATTTAAAGGAATGTTGGGGTTCAGAACAAGTTGAGCTCTATCAAAGGCATGTGTGGCATGTTGTTGATTACCACAGAAAATTTGTGACTCATCCCTCAGTAAAAATTAACATTTAGAGCAATGCACTTACAATGGAAGTCTATGAGGCTAGACAACGGAGCTCAACATGTGTTGATGAACATTCATTTAAAGGGGTCATATGATGCGATTTAAATTTGTCCTTTCTCTTTGGAGTGTTACAAGCTCTTGGTGCATAAAGAAGATCTGTAAAGTTGCAAAGACTAAAGTCTCAAATCCAAAGAGATATTCTTTATAAAAGTTAAGAGTCAACCACGCCTACCTAAAACGGCTCGTTCTAACACGCCCCCACATGTCTACCTCACTATGTGGGAAGATTTGCATAACGCCGCCCAAATGTTCACACAAAGAAAGAAGACGTAACTTTTATTCTCGCTGTAGTATTGTTGCTGACGCCACCATGTTGTAAAGACGCTGTGTGCTTCGTTGTGAAAGCGAAACTACTTTGTTTGGTCTTCCAAAAGAGGACAATATCTGCTTCGTCATGCCTAGAGCTGATCTGTGCTGGTCGCTGAGGAAATACATCAACGTCGCGCTGTGGATCACCAGATCAGCTTTCACCGGACGAAGCGGAGTCCAGCCCGGGGTTGTCACATGTGGTTGCTGCAAGCCTCCTTCGTCGAAATCGCCAGCCGCGCCATTCTCACTCTAGCCCTCTGGCCGTTCCTCATGCTAGCCCCCGGCCTCAGCTCACTGTAGGCCACCGTGTGTGACGCTGTTTCGTTGTGAAAGCGAAACTACTTTGTTTGGTCTTCCAAAAATGGACACGACTAGAAATCAGTGGTTAAGTTGCATTTACAACACTGTTCCAGAACAGTTCAACCCAAATATTATTATAAATAATATATAAATGTGCAGCACATTTTATGGAGGACTGTTTCCTGATCCAGGACATTTCATTACACCAAATACACAAAATAAATTTATTTTTAGCAACGTCATATGACCCCTTTAATAGCTCACAAGCTTTAATACAGGTACAGAAAAAATACTAAAGAATATGATGAAAACACTGAACACTTCATTTGGATTGCGTCTGATTTCAGAGGCATCCTGTTATGTCAGATTAGAGGCCATCAGGATTTGGGCTGAGGAGTTTTTCTCTAAAACAATTGCACATACAGAATTAAGTCAGTTATTATACTCAGAAAAAGATAAACAAACAAACAAACAAACAAACAAACATTGCGCGCGCACACACACACACCAAATTCATGGATTGCTAATATTAGATTATGAAACTCTCCCTAAATTACAGAGATAGAGGTCTTATGAAAAAAAACAAAAAAAAACAACAACCCTATTTCATAAGAAAACATAACTATTTTATGTTGTAGTGAATTGGAGGTGATCCCAACACTAACAGTTCCCCCAACACTAAAACATGAGATTTAAAGTTCACCACTAAACCTAACCCTTTCTGAGACGCAAGCAGACGAGACTGTACAATGAAGATTGTACGAATTAGTATGAAGGCGCTCACACGAGTTAAGTCTTATTAAGAAATAAGTATCGATTTTTATTTCTCCTCTTTCCTATTACTTGTTTCGTGTCGGTTTCAGTTTTTATAACCATTTCTTACTATGTGTAAGTAAGTTGTTGTTTTTTAGCATGTGTGTTCGGCTCAGTGTTATTTTTTAGGATTACGGATAAACTACTGTCATTTGATTTGTAGTATTTGTATTTGTTATTTATTTTAATTTTAGTTAAATTATGTCTGAATTTATTATGTCTGTATAGGTCTTTTATTAAGATTTTAGTTTGTCTGAATGAGACCGTACAAATTAGTCCGAATGAGACCGTACGAATTAGTCCGAACGAGACCGCACAAATTAGTCCGAATGAGACTGTACGAATTAGGCCGAACGAGACCGTACGAATTAGGCCGAATGAGACTGTACGAATTGAGCGTGCACGATTTCTAAATCGCTTTATAGCACAATTTTCCACGCCCCCGACCTCCCACAGTATGCTATCCGAACCAATCAGAATGCAGTGCGCCTAAATGGAGCACGAGAACAGAACAGACCAGGCAACAAACGTAACGCCAGGTTCACACACTCCGTCTGTGGTGCGTATTTTTTCCGCGCCCATGTTAACGGATCAGAGTGTTCACACTGCACGCGATTGCGCTCCGGCAGTTCCGCACGGAGTCTATTTCTGTTGTGCTGCACGCGCTGAAAGTGACAGTGCATTAGTCACAGTAAAAAATAACATGGATTGGCATGGAAATTTAGTAATTACACCATAAATGCATATAATTAAAGTCTACTGTTTTCAAAGTCAACACATGGCTTTTTGGCTAGATTTAAAACAAGGAAAGGTGCACTTTTAGATAAACAAGGCAATAATAGATGGCACTTGTGGTGGTAGTTAAACAAAGTTATATTTATTGAGTTTAAACGTGAATATGTCTATGAAAGATTGTATTACTGTACTGTGATAAAAGAGAATCACAA